CCCTAGTCTTTAAGACTCCACCATACACTGGATTGTAATCCCTTAAGTGTCTCCTGTGTAATGTTGCAGAAGAATGTAACAGGGAAAAAATAATCATAGTCTGTACCCTGGCAGAAATAAACCATTATACAGCCTGAATATTAATCAGAATAAACACTATTTTGATTTTTATTTCACGATGCCTGTTGTTTCTCTGCCCAGGCATCAGTCATACTGCACACACTTGCTCTGAGGTTTATGATTGTAACTAAATCCACTTCATTTAATCACTGTAATAAATCTACACCCCAGCAGACACCACTAAATGAGCTATTAATAGCACACTAAATATACCTGTTAGACAGATTATACATGTAAAATATAGAAGCAGAGTGAAAACTATTTGCACTTGATTAAGTGCCAGACTTCTGTTCATTTTCCACAACAGAAGTACATGAGAAGAAGATTACCAAACACACCTTGTCCATGTTTCCAAAGAACTGCTCCAGTTTACCATCTGAATACACTCAAGGCCACTTCTACTTTTCTGATAATATACAAAGACATCTGTGGGCAGAATTTATGCTTTAAAACAAACATTTGGAACAAAATATCAAGAGTTAGGACAAGGCTAAGAAAACAACTAATCACCACCAAACCTTGAGGGCGACTTGCACGTCGTTCCTGACAAAATCTGGGGGGTGGGAACTTGTTTGGTTTAAGGTATTTAATCCCAAACATCATCAATTATTTTAGGAAATCTGATGATTGGTTTTTTTTTTTTCCTTTGACTTCAGTCTGTGGCAGAAGCTCTATAATAAACTCTGCTAAGCTGTAAGACTGTACCTCCCACAGCAAGTGCTCTCTACCTTCCCTCTCACTAAGGCAGAGTAGACTGTGGGGCACGAAGCCCTTTTATAATTTAAACAAATGGCATGTATGACTTCAACACGTCACTTCCACAGCATGTGGTGCAAGTCTGCCAGAACTGGAACCAGAACTTATCAAGACGAAAAACAGAGAGAGAGATTTTCCAGCCTCCCAGATCCAAGCCCTGTCAAGATTACACACACAGAAACACTGCAACAGTACACAGAGACCAAGATCCTCTACAATCAAAATGTGGAATTTCTCTCTGTATTCAATGTCCCTAGTTCTTCAGCTAGAGCCATGACAGTGAGTTTTACTCATTTTATAGACAGAGCTTTTACCTGTCCACAGGTGATGGGTTATTCATAAACCTGGTTGTCCCAGGAAACTGAAACTTCTTTCATCTAACCACTGCCACTAAGCACTGATTTCCCACAAGGTCCATCCTGACAGGCACACTTCAAAGTGCCACGTTGCACCAGGTGGCCATTTGCCCACCATGACTTTTTAAAACCAGAATATTCAGTTGCTAAACCAATTTTTATCACCTTTTCCTTCTTCCCCAAATGCAGCCTTTATGCTGCACTCTTAAATCCTATCCTGAAATTTAGTGAAATTGCTCCAATTTTCCTTATTCTACCCTCACCCACAGGTTCTGTAGTTCATTACAGAATTCAATAAAAGGGCATGGCATGTCTTCCACTATCCACCTACAACCTTTTCTGTCTCCTAAATCACTCTTACTTCTTTTGATTTTTTTCAAAAAGTTTCATTCACAGAAAAGAGCAACTTAACAAAACTGCAGATTCAGAATCGCTCTTTATTCAATACCTTTGTCCTCTGCCTTTGATGGTGCAACTTTTTCCAGAAAATATTTATTTATTTTATTTACCATTTTCTGAATCCTAAAATATAATCTGATTCTGGGTTCACTGTTCTGTGCACTTTACCAATGGTGATTGGGTGATGGCCCTTGCCCTTGTTAAACGTCATACTGCCCATCTCTCTAATCATTTGCCCATCTCTCTAATTATATGTCTCTATTTTATGGCCTCATTGTCTATGTATTCACAACCCTATATTTGTAAAGATTTTATTGTGTTCATCTCTGCTTCTCTTCCCATTTTGGTGTCCCTTAAAATTCTGGCAGCATCTCTCCTAATGCAAAAGTGCCTTTGGTCTCTGTCTGTGCCCTTTTCCACCACCCTCCCTCACGACACTTTCCACATCTACTCTGACACAATCTGGTCCTTAATTACCTAGTCCAATCTACTACATTTACAGTAACCCAATTCCTTATCCCCAGAATTTTTTGCTACTCAAGACACGTGACAGCCAGATTATACAGGGAAAAAAAAATAAATATTTAGTTTCCTCTTCAACATTTGGGTTTTGTTTTTATTTCTAATTCCCCAGCAATCATAATATCCATGTCCACGTTATTTCTGTCTCTTTTATTTCTCCATACTTTTCACGAAAAATTGCAAAAAACACAAATTCCTGCCAGAGTAATCACATTACATTTACCAGTAGTTCACAATGCAGTTTGATTCAGCTACACATTTTCTTTTCTAAAACACAAATAACACTATTCTTTTTTATAAATACTATCACAGTGTTATTCACTAAAGCCAAAAAAGATCATTACTCTGATTTCACCTTTTTACAACATAGATTGTTGAAATAGACTGCAGAATCACGCACGAAGCCAGTTCTTTTTTTTTCTCATCATAAACCCATCATTTTTCTCTTTATGGTTTGGTTGGACAATATTAATATGATTTCCTACTGTACTACAGAGATGTGTTATTCCACTAGTGGTGGGAAGAACTGTTTTGTGTGTGCACACATCTATAACATGCAAACGTTTATAAAGCACTTACAGATGTCTCAAGGAGAACAGAAACATTTATCTTATGTCCAGATGGTGCATCACCTTGACTTATATATCTATGTTTTCTTCCAATCTGTATTGCCTGAAGATAAAGCCCTAAAATACTGTAGGCCAATATAAGCAGTTTATAGTTGTCCTGACGTGTTCACATCCTTTTCCCTTATGCCAACCCCAAGGAAACTGCTGTGACAGGTAACTGATAATGTACCACTGTTAAACTTGGTTAAAAAAGATAAAAAAGATTCAAAAGAAGTGCTGCTGGTACTACCAGGGGCAGAATGGGAACGTTTCTTTGATTAGCATCCAAGCTTGTGAAAACCCCAAGTGACCACAGAACCACAGGCTGAGAAATTCAAACCAGTACTTTGTACTGTGTGTTTTATAATTTACTGAAATGCAGATAATTCTAACACTACCTGGTCTGCAGTAATGACTGTTCCATGCAGTGCTGGATTATTCTTATCCCTAGTGACTTTAGTAATTATTAGACTGCAAACCCCTTTCTATAATCTCCAGTTTTCTTTCCAATTTATGGTTCTCAGTCAGAACATAAGAACAAAATTTCCTGTATTTCTCATGTAAATCCACCTCATAAAGGCAACCATAACTACATCTGCATGTGTAACTCAAGGCATCCTAAAAATATATAGATATACAATATGCAATATTTTTATATATAAAAATATACATTGTGGAAACTCAGATTTCAACAGAATTTTGAGAGTAAAAATATTAATGGTATCTCTCCAGTGAAATTTCACTACTACAACATTGCTAAGTTAATAAATATGCAGTAGGAGTTTTTTGCACAGTATACCAAATATCCAGGTATGCAAATGAAGAAAACTAGTGTGAGAACACAGATTTTATTAACTTATCCAAATATCACTGTTTCAAATTATTATTATTAATAATACTTATATAGTAATAATAATACTTATGTTGTAATAATAATAATAATAATGTCAGGCTGTTTACTACTCAGACTTCCCTGAAACTACACTTGTCTGTGCTGCAATTTACATTTACTGTAACCAAGGGCTAAAAACACACTGCAGTGAGTTTCTCCCTGGTATCACCTGTCAGCCTTCAACATAGACACACTGAGGTTTAGCTTGCACAACACAATCACAACATTTTTCTCTTCCTTCCTAAATCCTTACAAACCATTTTAGTTTTAAACAGGAGGATGCTCTTGTATGGTTGGAAAGTACCCAAAGAAAGTCTTATCAAAACCCAGTCTGATGGCACAGGCTAATTCAGCAGCTGACAGGCTGCTCTTGCTGAAGGACTTTAGCTTGAAACAGGAATGGCATCAATCTTCCTTTAAGGAATTGCTTGGCCAATTTACCACAGTCTGAAAAATTAATATCCAGCCTCTCGTGCCCCAAACCATACAGAACATTTTATCCAGTATGTTCCTCAGTTTCAACAGTTGTCTCTTCAAAAATAAAATAAAATAAAAAACACAACACCCTAAAAGTTATATTCCTATTACTGTAATTCTGTTTAGAAAGCCAGAAAGTATGAAACCCCAGACAAGAAAATATACAGCTTTTTACGAGACAAGTGTAATTCATAAATGCATGAGTTACAACTCAGTAGTACTTCAAGACACAGCCCTCACTAATCCAACTATTTAATATATTCCCTCCTTTGTCCTTACATGAGACACTTTCTTTCAGAAGAGAAAGAGAAACAAAACATAAAACCCACCCTAAATAAATGATCTACCACTTCACAGAAAGCATGGTTGGCTACCAATATTCCTTGTTTACATAACTGAGAAATCTTCTAAATACACATTTAAAGATTTATATGTTAAAATAAAAAGTAAAAAAATCACGATTCTGATGCAAGTAGTCAAATATGATGTCAGCATAAAAGACAATCATCCCAACTTGAAATGCGTGTCATTAAAATTTAAAAGCCAAAGGTGACAGCACATGTCATCCACGGTTTACAAAACACGAATACCACTTAAAAGCTGAATTACACTAGCTCAAATGACAGTATTCAGTGTAGTAAATAAAAAGTTGTCTTCTTCCACCATTCCAAAAATACTTCCTTCTCTCTAAGAAGTTACGCACAAATCAATTCCCACCATCTCCACGCGTGCTCCGTTTGCCAGATGATAAAGCCTTAAAGCAAATCGCTGCAGAACCCAGCAATCATGAGTTCCCACAATGCAGGTGACTGTCAGAAAACAGTAACAGAGCCTGACACGTTTATGGTGTCTCTCAAAGAACAGACTTACCTCGGCAGATGGTCCCGTTCCCCACGTAGCCAGGTTTGCAGGTGCAGCTGTGTCCCCTGACGGTGTTAGTGCAGATTGCATTCTCATCACAGTTGTGCTGGCCACTGCCACATTCATCGTGCTCTGCGTGGGGGGAGCAAAAAGAAAAACAAAAAAAAAAAAGAAAATTAAACAATTTTTTTGAGATGCAGCGAGCTTTTCAGTGAGATGAGGTGGCATTTGAAAAAAACCAAGTGGGATAACCAGGTTGCTGCAACGGCTGAACGCCGGGGGCTTGGTGTGGGAGTCAGCTATGGGCTTGCTCCAATTCTGAAACTCAACAACATGCGCATGGCAACAGTAAGATTATTTAGGTTTAAAAGCAGAAGAAGAAGAAGGAAAAAAAAAAAAAAGGCATCTGTGAGGAAGCAAAGTATGGCTGTGACAAAAAGCTATGAAGAGGATTATCAGAGAAAAATTTCTGCTGTGAAGACGAACCTTTACATCGCTGCCCATCACCAGCAATAATAATCATAAATACAAGATAACTGAACAAGAGGGGCCCTAATAGCCCACCCTGTAACTCCAGTTGTCACAACTGCTTGCTCTAACACTTACTGAGCCCACTCCTTCTACAACAGCACACAGTAACATTCCATATTTTTAGAGCACCAATCACACCTGGAGCCTCCAAGAGGCTCCCAGGCAAACGGGCCATATTTTGCTTTCATCCAGCAACCCTTCACTGCTGCCCTGAGATAAATTTGCCACAGCTCTGCACTTCCCTCTCCTGCTACTTTTTGTTCCCCTAAAGCATCAGTTAGAGGTGATGAGCTACCTGACCCTGAAGTTTCTCGCTTCTTCCTGCAATTATGAGGAGCTTCCCTCATACAGCAGGACTGCAAAAAGAAAACCTGGATATTTGACACTTCTGCGCCAGTGGTTTTACAGCTTTTGTTCAGTGGGCTTAAAATGACACAACAAATTTCCTTAAAACCATACCATGGGCAACCATCAGCATCTGGAACCCTTCTTGGCAGCCTTCATTTATGCAAGTGCAATCATCAGGCTGAGAGGTAAAAAGGTATATACCTTCCTGGAATCAGGATTTGCTAAAATGTACCAGTGCATAAGGGGTGTTCAGAGGACAACGGATTAAATTCAGCCTTCCACAGCTCACAGAGAGGTAAGTGCCTCTAGAACCCCAGCTAAACACTCGTTTTTGCAGACTGAACTCAGCCCTTTGGAAGAGCCTCTCCACTGAGAGCAGCAGCATCACAGGCCTTGACGGGCTACGGTTCACCTCTGCAATGCTCTCACTCTACCACAGTCACAGAACAACAGCCAATTTCAAGATAACTCAAGACATGCAGGATTTGAATGATGAATTCTAAAGAACCCACTAAACCAAATACTTCTGGAACACTGTTGATAACTATTTGCAGTACATATATCCAACATGTTTTCTATTTTTCAAACACATTTGACAGCAAAATGATATGGATTGCGACTATTTTCTCTTAAATAGAATCAAAGCAACGTATCACCCGCTCTCCCTCTCTGCTTTTAGCAAGAAATTCACACACACTCTCACATGTGCCTGGCTTCAGCTGATAAATTCAGGCTTGCATTTAGACTTGTTAGTTTATGTTGGTCCCCAGCTCTGCTTGGTAATTCACTTCAGCTTCTTGCCAATTTTCGGAGGCCTTACATATTCTAAACTCCAGGGTTCTTCAAGGGCCTCCTGCTCTCCCCTTCATCTTTTAAGAAACTGTACCACAGCCTGATTCTTTGCTGCTTCAGTCTCACGGTGCTCAGACTGCTGGGTCAGACACAAAAAGTATCAAGCTACTCTCCAAGGAAGTGCTTTGAAGGCAGCAGAAGCTGAATTATGCTTTCTTTTAAAAGAGACACTCTCTCCACAATCTCTCCCTCCTCTTCCTACTTTTAATTGTCAATAGCTTTCATGTGTTAGTATTCAAACTATAATGAGGATGCCTTTGTGATAGGCTCAGGTGTGCACACAAGAACGTTCCTACTCAAACAATTGCCAAAATTAGTCTATTACTCCTCAGCACTTCAAGTACAAACAAAAGATTTCCCAGCGGTAACAAATGTGTTTTGCCAAAACACACAAGAGAGGGTAGTCTGCTGTGTTGTTCTAGGACTCTGACAATGCAAATCACTGTATTTACCATTCCTGCAGGTGTACAGGTGCTGGAAATATCAAAAAATTTGGCACTGACAAAGCTGTTCTCCCACAGTCATCCTTCAAACAGAGGTGAGTTTTTTTCAAAGCCGATATAATTTAAAGAGTTACCAACAAATCTGACCATGGGAACCTGCCCTTCATGAGACATCCTGATGCTGTTAGCACAAGGAGGACTAAGGGAACCTCATCTGAATGAGGAATGCCAAGATTTCCTAGCAGCAATACGGCTGCAACGATGGGAACTTTAAATGAAGTTCTCCCTGGTGCAGGGATGTCTATAGCTGATGTTGCTACAGGCCTAATAAGAATGAGAAAGCATTGATTTTCTGTCAAGGTACAAAAATCTTTTTATCCAGATGAAAAATCCTCAGGATTCTGTCAGCAGCAAGTCCTCCTGGGTTTCCTGTGCCCTCACAGGAGATCATCCTTTGGGTGTTCACACTGGAAAGCAAGAACGGAAAGCAGGCTCTGATTTTGCTTAAATGCAAAGGAGACTGTGACTAATTTGCAAAGAACTTGGCTTTCTTCCATGCATTGCTTTCCAAACATTCCCACTCAAGCACATCAGGTAGAACCTGCTTTTCCTTTAATGTCATGGCAAATACTGACTTGACAGCAAATAAAACTGGCAGGGAAGGACATTGCACAGCATCAGTCCAAAGCACCAAAGAGGAGAGAGCTGAGACAAAAAGCCCAAAGTCATTTCTTATTTTGACAATTTCCCTTGTAGCTGAAAATGAGAAGCACGAGAAAGGGGCTCTAAAACACGAAACTAAATTTTAATTTTTTTTATACATGTGTATATATGTGTATATATATAAACAAGCTGCCATGCTCAGGAATTAAACTGTCATCATTAAGTTTGATTGAAGACATCCATCTCTCTGACTTCTATTTCCTATGTAATATACACAAAATGATCTCATCATCAAAGACAAAAAGAACTGGCAGGCTTACTGAGAGGGACAGCACTGTAGGACGTCATTCCTTGACCCAACTCCCATTCCCCAGGGTTATGAATATCTATTTCAAGATCAGGTACCATTTTAGATGAGCAGTTACAACAGCAGCACCATTCTTTGCTCACAGGCAAGTCAATTTTTTTATGAAATCTCAGTAAATTATCTTCAGCATTATTTCTGCATCTACTCCATGCTTTTTGGTTAAGCCACGAGATCAGTTCGTTTGTTGTGCCTCTTTTTTTCCCACTCTATAAAATAAGGATATTACAAGATTCTGTTTTTTCTCCAGTATTTGTCATTCTCCTGAAATCCTCAAATAATAAAGATTTTATAGAAAATTTAAGGATATCAATTTTCTATTAATAAAAACGGGGAGGAGGGGGGGGAGAATCAGAAGTCCAAGAGCTTTCATGAACTTTTCCAAAATAGTAAAGAGAATCTTCTGATAATTTTCTGAGTTCACACCTGAGTCAGGCCACCTTGTGAACAAATGGCTGGGAAGTTCATTCTTTCTTTAGTCACCTCAGAGTGGCCATCTGCCTGCAGAAGCACTCATAAGAAATTAGTCCTCCTTTCACGTCTCCATCACCCGTGTTGTACAATTCTGTGCAACAACTTAGAAGTCCACACTGAGAGCACTGCAGGTCTAATGTTTATATGGGGGTAGTGTTACACAGCAGCACAAGCACAGCTGTGGAAGACAAATATTACAGTTAACTCTGCTTTGTTCACCAGCAACCTAATAAAAGTAAGTTTGTCTTGATGCTGACAGAATTCTTTTCAACACTACATGGCCTTGGAGAGATAACAATCGCATAAAAAGCGAAGTTAATTCACCAGAAAACAGTTTCATGGAGATGGTTAGTTGCACATCCTATTATAAAAGCCACCAATGCGTCCTAAAAAGAGCAGAAAACCACCTTATGCCAAAACACAACTGGTCTGGAAGCACACTGATACCAGGACACACACAGTATCTCATTTTTCCTGACATCCCAGAGAAGAAACAAGTTACAGTACAGTGGGAAAACGCAGATCATTTTCTGCTGAAGTCGCAGGAACATGGAATGAGTGGGAAACGGTCGAAATCAGCCCAATCACCAGGCTGCCAAGACAACTCTGACCACACTGCATCCCCCCACCCTCTGCATGTGCTCCAGGCAGATGGACCCCACCCAGGCAAGCAGCCCAGCACAGCCACACCTGCAGCCAAACAGCTACTATGGACACATGTAAAAACAACAATGGGATAATACCTGAGGCAGCAGGAGACCAGCAACACAAGTAAACTCCACGCCTGCCAGCAGAAGACTCGCTATAAAAGGTCAAGGCTCTGCTAATAGCTGTGTTTAGCTGCACCTTCGGCCACGGCACAACATTCAATCGTGATGTGTTTCAGTTGTGAAACCACTTGTTTAAATTTTAACTAAATGTTCAGCTGTCTTCAAAACACGGGTATTCATTTAAGGCTAAAGGGGTTAATTCACACCAGGTTGTAGCAGCTCCGGCACATCTCAAATGACTAAGCATTTCAGGTGCTCATCCTTGACCACTTCAGTGTGAAGCATAAATTAGAATATTCAGAAAAAGGATTAAAAAAAAGTCAGCAGCCTTCATTTCTGCCAAATCCTTCATATCCCCCTTTTTCTACACTAATCTTGCTGAGGAATCACATAAATACTTCTGTTCTGTGGTACTTGAAAGAAAAAAATACCTTCTGTTCTGGGCTAAGCTGAACAGAAAGAATGCAGGAGGAAAAGCACTGGGGGCAGAAGGAAAGGTGCCAGACAAAGATTTTGTCTGCCTGAGGTAATTTATTCTGCAAAAAGCCGCCCACATCACACTGCAGAACTGTTTGTAGGTGTAGTGGGTTGACCCTGGCTGGATGCCAGGTACCCACCAAAGCCACTCTCCCACTGCAACTGGACAGAGGAGAGATTAAAAAAGCAGTGAAAGATTCATGAGTTAAC